TATCAAGGTCAGTCTTGTCTGCTCAGACTGGCAGCAGCTCTCCAGGGTCTCAGGCAGCGACTTTCACATGGCCTACTGCCTGGTCCCTGTTACTGGAGGTGCTGGGGATTGAACCTGGGACCTTCTTCATGCAAAGCAGATGCTCTGCTGCTAAGTCATGCCTCCTCCCCACCTCCAATTACGTTTCCAATAAAATAGCATGAAGAAAAACCCCTGTAACTTCACCATAGCAGCTGTCTGTCCTAGCCTCCTCCAAGCCTACCTTTCAGCTCTTCATGTCTTTTGGTGTTGCCTAGCACGCAGGAGAGCTCAGGTCCCCTTCCCCAAATTCTCAGTTTTCAGTTAACTGCAGGGAACTCAGGCGAAGTGTCTCAAGCTGGCTGAGGTTTGGAACCAGTGTTCCCTCTAAGCTGAGTTAGTGTGAGCTAGCTCACAGTTTCTTTAGCCTCCAGCTCACACATTTTTGTCTTAGCTCAGGAAGGATGGCTCCAGAGCCAACAAATTTATGCAGGAGCCCAGGTTGCTCGCTCACAACTTTAATTGCAGTAGCTCACAAAGTAGAATATTTGCTCACAAGACTCTACAGCTTACAGGGAGCATTGTTTGGAATGGTCAACCTTTGCCTGCTCCAGTGCTCTGTGTCGCATGAAGCAGCCTCCCCTCCCCTCCCTGGATAGATGGCAGGTGGTATTATTTGCCCTGTTGAACTCTGGAACAAGCAGAAGTGGTATAAGCCTCACACTGCTGTTGCTGCTGCTCGTTCCTAAGGCCAGAAGTGTACAAGATGCCACCTCCAAGCATGCCGATGCACAGATACACACAAACAATGTTTGGGGAAGCATAAGATTGGTGGTAAGCACGGATAAACAGCAAAACGCCGAGCCAACCGAGGTAAAATGTATAGCTTGCTGATTCTGGTCAGTGACTATGGAAGTCCTGAGATGAGTGAATCACGAAGACAAAACAAAATTGCTTCAGATGTGCATACAATTAGAAAATAGTTGGCAATAATATAGAACAACAATAGAATTCTAAGATGTTTAATTCTTGTTTTCAGCAAAGAGCGCCATCAAGATGACGTCGAGATGAGCAGAAACGCAGATTACGAACTTCTCGAGGTCTAGCGTTCGTTTCGATACAGTTCTTTATCAAACAAATCTCAGAATCTCAGTTCTTTAATGATCTTCATACGAATACTTCACAAGAAGGAATTCCTAAATCCAGAAACTTTTCCAAACAGTTAAAACAGGAAGTTAAAAATTGTTAGTCCAAAGCTGTTTGGAAAAGTTTCTGGATTTAGGAATTCCTTCTTGTGAAGTATTTGTATGAAGAGCATTAAAGAACTGAGATTCTGAGATTTGTTTCATAAAGAACTGTATCGAAACGAACGCTAGAACTCGAGAAGTTCGTAATCTGCGTTTCTGCTCATCTCGACGTCATCTCGATGGCGCTCTTTGCTGAAAACAAGAATTAAACATCTTAGAATTCTATTGTTCTATATTATTGCCAACTATTTTCTAATTGTATGCACATCTGCAGCAATTTTGTTTGTCTTCGTGATTTTCCATTGCTGTACCCCTTGTGTTACTTTAGTCCTGAGATGAGTGACAGGTGCTTCAAGTATGCACGCTGGTCAGGGTTTCGCTTTGTGGAATGTCTGGCTTTAGGCCAGGACACTTTGTGTGCCGCATTTCATACCACCCTTCCTCCAAAGAGCTCGGGATAGCATATCCAGTTTCCCCTTCTCCCTTTGATGTAGTGGTTAGGAGCACGGACTTCTTGATCAGAACTGAGGCCTTGAGTGGGCAAGAGAGGCTGGTTTTGCAGTGACCTGCCATGCGTAACTTGGAGAAGCACTCTGTAATTCCCGCCCAGAGGCAGCGTGTGCATGATTTCGGAGGATTCTGCTGAACATTTATCACGAAAGTGGTATACTAGGCATGTTTCTTTGGGTTAACTGGGATAATTGTCTACTGCCCTGGAAAAAAATTGAGCTTGGCTTTCTTCTGTTGAGGGCTCACGACAAAGCCTTCACCGTAGGCCAGCTCAGATTGGTTATTTCTCCCTAGATGGTGGGGGGGATTGTTCATGCATTCCCAGCACTCACCAAATAACCTCTTGTAAAAGCTATTTATGCTGGGACCTTGAGTTAGAAATGCTGCTTCAGAGAGTGAAAGGATCTCTTCAAGAGCAGGCCAGATTTAAAAGTGTGTGCGTGTGTGTGTGTGTGTGTGCAGAGATGTGTGTGTGTGTGTGTGTGTGTAGATGCTCTGTCAAGACGCATCTCAAATTTGTGATGGGGAGAGAGGCGAGAAGGACTTTGACTTGTGCTTCCCCCAACTGAAATGGCTTCTTTTTGGACTAAGTTGTGGTGTTGGCCATGGTTTGTATTAATTGAATTTTAAGTTCTGAAATATGACAGGGAGAGCATTGAAATAGCAAGGCCGTGTAGCAGCGATTCCAGCAATCTGGAGCTTCTGCGAGCTGCTTTTCCCTTGAAAGCATTGTGTTGGGGCGGGGAGGGTGAACGGGCTTTTTGCAAACCGATTCTGTCCTAATAGGAAGCATTGGTCAACCGTCACAGGTGCCAGTTTTCAAAACCTTTCCTCTCTGACTGGAAGAAATGCTTTAAGAAGCGTCTTCCAAAGGGAGAAATAGTTTTTCAGGATTAAGCGACTCAGGAAGCTGTTTTGAAATGCATGTATGAGAATGTCCCAGAAAGTTAACTCATGAAACACGGGGCTGGGGTGCCATACATGTCTCTTCGTTTCCAGAGGCAAAGCAGAGTTACTCCATGGAGTTTAGGAGACTTGTGGCTTGAAGTCTGAGCAAGATAAGTTCCCCAGGCCCCCCTCTTTTGAGGTACTTCATGTCAAAATAACAGCAAGTGCTACATCCCCCCCCTTGTTTATCTAGGGTATAATGCTTATAACAAGCACTGGGCTGCATTGTCTCATACGCTCCTCCAGTACATGACTTTTCCTCCTGACTCTGGCTCTCGATTGGAGCTTTGCCAACTTTGGTCGAAAGGTGGTGTTAACATGTAACCTGGTGGTGGTGGGGAGGGGTGGGTGTCAGCCTGCAGCCCACTCACGGGTAAACAGCCGTGTCTGTACTGTCAAAGTGTGAAAATGGCGAAAGGGCAGGAACAATGAACCAAGTCCACATATAGCCTTAATTTGTGACTGATAAAGTGCTGGTTTGGATTTAACTGTTTTTCTCAGTACTGGGATACCTAAAGAATTTGTGGTTTGTGTGTGGGTGTACGTATGTAACTTTGTAATGCAGAGTGCGTGTGGTTTGTGCAATAAAAGTCTTGAGTAGGAGCGGTCTCCTGAGTTTTTTTCCTGTGAACCCTTAATGCACTGCGTTAATATTTTCATATGCAATGCTTCACAGATTATAGTATTTGAAAGAGAAGAAAAATTATGCAAGAACTGGTTGCGTATCCAATAGCTGCAGGATTTGTTATCTGGTTAACTTCAACATCTAAGCCATTGGGATACTGTTTCAAATTTGCATCTGTGTTCTCAGAATCTGGGAAATACTCATATTTGAGGCAAATGACTATTTACCTGGTAGCTTATGAGAATAAGTCACGCACAATTAGAATAGATAAAACTGCTTAACAAAATAGCTCCCCCCCCCCCCCCCGGACTATAAATGACTGATGTTTGTATCTGGGAAGGTGGGCCAACATTGTGTGACTTCTTGTGCGACTTCTTGGAATGATTTTGCTATACAGAGGGTAATGCAAAACCAGAACTACCAGATCCTCTTTTTTAACATCTGCTATATTAATGGGAACTCCCTAGGCAAACAGTGCTCACTGTGTGCCACTAAACATGCAAGTTGGCTGCCCCTCCTCTGGTTCTTCACCCACGAGACGTGACCCTTCAGAGCTAAAACATTATCGCAGGTCAGCCCCAGAGGATGCAGCGCACCTAATGAGTACCGGGATAACCCGTATTGGGTTGTCTTCTGTTGGTAAGTGTTGGAAGGTGTGGAGAGTAACTGAACTCTCCTGGAAAAAGACTTGTAAAAAGTGCACGGAGCTCAAGACGCTTCACCCGGTACATTACTTTAGATCATGCACTGAACTGTCTGCATCTCAGAGATACACTGCTTTCTGGTAGACGGGCACCCAGCACACAGTTCCTGAAGAATGCACAGCAATTACATAGAAATAATAGTGGGTATTTCTTCTGTTTCATTTCTGCCAGTGGTATAAATGGTTATTTGTTGTGATTTCTGTCCTTTTTCCTTGGATCGGTGACTTTGTGAAGTTGGGTTTCCATGAAATGGCAGCCATCTTTGGTTTGCCGTTTAAAGGAAAGTGCTGTGGGTGAAAAAAAAAACACATGCCATGTTTTAAGTGGAGTTGTGTCATTTTTTTAAAATGTTGGATTTAAATCCCTAGCAGTCCACAGCAAACGTTAGCAACACACTTTCTCCCCGTCTATAGCACAGAAAACTGGGATGGCTCGATGGCTTAACCCGGCCCTGCACGCTCACCCTAGTAATCATCCTACATCACAGCAGTGCTTCCTGAATATTGCTTCAAATACTTGTAGAAATCGTAACTTCCTATTAACGTGGCTTTAGTTTCTGACTTTCAGCAGGCTTGCAAAGGTATTCCCTTAAAAAACAAACAAACAACCCCAAACTCAACTAGATACTGTGTTCTGCCAGGTTGAGGTTTTGCCTGTTTTAAGGTATCTTACAAATATGCCGATCTGTTTAAATCCAGGTAACTCTTGGTCACCTTTTTGAGACATCATTTTACCTTGAGTCACATGTTCCATTTTATTGGCCTCCTTCATATAGAAAATACAGCAGCCAAGTCTTGTGTCCTAAAAGCAGTATCTTCTATGTGAAAGGGAGCTTTCTGTACATCCCCCCCCCCCCCGCCATGTCTTTACATCACGGTAGTTTGAATAACCATGATTCCATATTCACATCAACTTTTTTTGTTTTTGTTTTTTTCGATTTATGCACAGCACTTGCTCTGAAATTTGGGGACTGAGTACACCAAATACGATAGATCAGTGGGATACAACAGGCCTTTACAGCTTCTCTGAACAAACCAGGTGAATATTCTGCCCTGTGTCTCATTGTAGAGATCTTGTGGGAGGGATTGGCTTCTGAGGGTCTTGTCTGCTGGAAATGCTTCCTGGTCAGTAAAGCATTTTGAAACAATAGATTTTAAAAAAGTGTTTCTCAGCTGATGTTTTGACCAATGAAATTCTAATTTCGGGAAAGCCTCATTCCACATCAGTGCTGTTGAAAAGGGGGAAAACCTAGGGAGGGTCGGGGAAACGCAACCACACGGTCTGGTATTCGTCTAACGAGACTGGGGGATTTTGAGTCTCTTTTATCAAGTGTGTGTTTAAAAAACCCTTAGTTTGCACACTGGTTTTTGACTTGCTAGTCAGGTATGCGCATTCAGTGAGCCAAATAATAATAATAATAACAACGTTGAGTGAGCAGTTTGTCTAGGCTTTTGATGGTTTTTTTTTTCCCATGTCACCCTTTACTTGCATTGTGCCCTGAGGTCCGTCTTTCTCATCCCATGAGTCATAAAACCATCTGCATTTGTGTAGGCCTAGGCAGGCTCTTGTCTTAAAACTAGCAAAACTTTTCAACCGGTAGCAGCAAGGGGGACGTGAGAACGCCAAGCAGATCGCGAAACCCGCAAGCAAACACAGCTGTGTCTTATGCAAGCTTCAGGTTGTAAGCCAACGTGAATCTCTTGGGTGGCTGACTGCGGTAATCTTATGGGCAGTCTTGTAAGTCAAATGTACGTAAAGGAACAATTAATGTTTTAGTATAGTGGTGAGGGACTGAGGGTGGTGGTGGGGAGATCATTAACGTAACCTTAAACGTGCAGCGGCCTCTAATGGCCCCCCTCACGCACAAGAACTGCTGGATCCAGGGGCCCGCATAAGTAAGGGGCCAGTCTATAACACCGTCTCCTCTTATTTCGAGACTTCCCGGATGAATACAGATTTCTCTCATGGCCCTTTTGGTGTCCGGGTGGCGGGGAAGGAGAAGGGCAGTGAATAAACACCCACCGTTCTGAACCTCTCGACTTGGACGCGCCTCCTGTGGACACCTCTAAATGTTTCTGGCTTACTTTCCCTCCCCTCAGGTCTCTCGATGGCCGCCTACAAGTGTCTCACCGTAAAGGATTACCACATGTCATTTACTGCCGGTTGTGGCGCTGGCCTGACCTCCACAGTCACCACGAACTTAAGGCAATTGAGAACTGTGACTATGCTTTTAATCTTAAAAAGGACGAAGTGTGCGTAAACCCGTACCATTACCAGAGAGTGGAGACTCCAGGTAGGAAGACGGCGAGCGGCTGTTGGCGGGAAGGCGTGGCCTCGGCGGGGCTCGCTTGACTTAAGTTTTCTTACTAATGCTCAGTGTGCGCAAAGTTTGAGAGGAAGAGAATCCCGAGAGCCGAGTGGGAGCTAATCCAGTTTTTAAAAACCTTGACAGTGGTGCTTTTAAATGTCGAAATGCATTGTTTTGTTGTATTGAATGCATGTGTTTGGCACTGTCTGGTATAGCGGGGTATTGCTCAACATTGACGTAAATGCTTGCAGCTATAGCAGTAGGGCTTCTCTTTGTGTTATTTGTCATATACTTCAGGTTACTTGTCGTATAGTTCATCGCTGAGGCTCAGGGCAGGTAATGATGCATCAGAGTAAGGCTTCAGAAACACAGTATGTACAATCATCGAATATCTCTCTTTGGCGTCTTGGCCACTGAAGTCAACCCAGATGATCAGCCATCGTTTGATTTTTCCCGTGTGTGTGGATCTGAAAATTGGTTCGGATTGCTTCTTCACACGTCTCTTCTTGTTCCCTGCTAGCTTCCAGTGGTGTCAGACTGTCTGACCCCGAGGCCCCAAAAAAGCGAATTCTGCACTAGATAGAACAGTTGAAAACCCAGAGAGACCCGGGTTATAAAATCTCATTGGGTGGTCTGAGGCTAGTCATGGTCTCCTGGTGGCGGTGAACTTAAACAGGGGAGTCCCTCCTTCCATGGCGTACCCAACCTTTTCAAGCCCTTGGGCACCTTTGGAATTCCAACGCAGGGTGGTGGGGAGCAACCACAAAACGGCTGCTGCCCGAGGCAAAGCCACATGCCTAACCAGAGGAAGTCCAAGTGCTGGGGGAAAGGAGGGGTAATTCAGAAAATACTGGGGAAGAAGAATGAGGCCGAGAAAATAAAACCAGCACTGTGTTGGCTGCTGCTGCTGAAGCAATGCTACTGTAATCTGCACAGGCAATCAGAAATGGCCTTGCCCACTCTCTAAAAGCCCTTGGCAGGTACCCAGTAAGGTATCACTAGGTGCCATGTGGCCTCCACCTTGGGAACCCCTATACTGTAGCTTTGTTGCGGAGCCAGAGGGCCACAGGTGAGCCAAAGTCCTTTGGCTGTTTTGCTCGACTTGCATGGGGGCATCTTGCATTGTCTCTCCCCCGGCCCCAGCGTCCTGAAGGTCTCCCCATGGTATTAGGGAGGTGTATCCTTTTGCCTAAACCGTACCTCACTTTGGCCTCTTTTAACCCTAAGGAAACATGGATCTAGTACATCACCGTTGTCTGTCCTTTCAACTAAGCCCCATGGGTGAGATTGGTGCAGTCTGGGCAGGGTGCAGAGCTAGTTCTTGATCCTGGCTTTATAAAACTGCGGTTAGTGTCTACCTAGAGCGCCTTGTCTAACGCTTTGGGGTTTTTCCTCCCCCAGTTCTGCCTCCCGTCTTAGTGCCACGACATACCGAGATCCTGACCGAACTTCCGCCACTAGACGACTATACCCATTCCATTCCCGAAAACACTAACTTTCCAGCCGGCATCGAACCACAGAGCAATTACATACCAGGTACTCTCAGTGCACAAGCAAGTGGCACGAAACTTGCTTATTTTGCCCGTGTGAAGGATTGAATCCATGTCGTGCCTAGTGTGCTGAAAAGAAAAGAAAAGAAAGCACATTGCCCAGGATGCAGGAGTTAGTAGCCCCCTCTTGGGTTTGCTTTTCTGATTTACACCTTTTTGTGAGCTGTGGACTCTGCCTGCCTGAGTTCGACACCAGTGGCTTGGCTCACTCTGCTCTCAGTTTGGTGTAGTGGTTAGGTGCATGGACTCTGATCTGGGAGAACCGGATTTGATTCCCCACTCCTCCACATGCAGCTGCTGGGTGACCGTGGGCAATTCTTGAAAGAGCAGTTCTCCAAAGAGCTCTCTCAGCCCCACCTCCCTCACAGGGTGTCTGTTGTGGGAAGGGGAAGGGAAAGGCGTTTGTAAGCCGCTCTGAGACGCCAAGTGAAGGGCGGGATATAAATCCAATCTCCTCGCCGCTTCCTCCTCCTCCTCTCAGAATTAATGGGACTTCGGAAATGGAGTTTCTGGGAATGGAATTTCTGGGGCAAGTGACGCTCTGTATTCTTGGTGCTTGGGGTGGGTGGCAGCAGTGGGAGGGCTTCTGGTGTCCTGGCCCCACGGCTGAACCTCCTGATGGCCCCTGGTATTTCTGGCCACTGTGTGACACAGAGTGTTGGACTGGATGGGCCTTTGGCCTGATCCAACATTGGCATCTCTTATGTTCTTATGTTCTTCTTGTTTGGTGCTTGCCAGATGACCCCGCTAACAGATTGGGTTCAAGGACAAGACACATAGTCCATTCGAGGATCTCTTGGCGGCCTGAACTGCGAGAAACTAAGCGTCTTGTAAACTCGCCCGGTTCAAGGTCTATTTCAAGGAAGCCTTGTGGCTTTGTCCTATAAGCCCCACACATTGTTGGCATATTTTGGAGTGCTTTCTGCTGTGAGCCACCTTAATGCTTCCTAGCCTTTTGAGAGCCCCGCTTGTCATTGTGGGAGGGCCCCGGGCAATGCTCCCTCTAAGCTGTGAAGTCTTGTGAGCAAAAACCCTACTTTGTGAGCTCCTGGCATTCAAGTTATGAGCGAGCAGTTTGGCTAGCTCACACTAACTCGGCTTAGAGGGAACACTGGCCCCGGGCTCTCTCGGTGATGGCTCTGGACTTCGAGAACTCATTCCTTACCTCTCTCAGCCCTTTTCCTTCTTCCAGAAGCTTACGGGAATGTAGCTGTATCCTTAGCCAGGGTTTTACGCTACATATTTTTAGATATTTCTGTAACCTCGTTTAAATTCTGTTTATTTCCCTGCTGACCTATGTTTAATTTTACAGTATATTCTGCTTATATTTTATGTACAGAGACCACCTATGTTGTTCTCACAGATGGCTGTGTTTCATTCCATATGTCCGAGACTGGCATACTGTATATTTCTTTTTTAAAAAAAATTCTACACAGCTGTGTTCAGAGCTTATGCTGTACTTAATGTCCTGCAAAGAGAATCTCAGGAACTCTTTACCTGTTTCCATGTTACGCTTCAGCAGCCAGGGGGTGGGGTGGGTCCAGGGCAGTGTTCCCTCTAAGCTGAGTTAGTGTGGGCTAGCTCACAGTTTTTAAGCCTCCGGCTCACACATTTTTGTCTTAGCTCAGGAAGGATGGCTCCAGAGTGAACTAATTGATGCAGCAGCCAAAATGCTCGTTCACAACTTTAATGCCCGTAGCTCACAAAGTAGAATTTCTGCTCACAAGACTCCACAGCTTAAAGGGAGCGTTGATTCCAGGGCTCTTTCCTTCTCCCGGTCTGACCCCCAGAAGTGGGTTCCTGGGGCTGAAGGCCCGCACAGTTAACAGCCATGCAAGTCGGAGAGTTGAAATCGTTCCCTTCTCTATCAGCAACTTCACGCAGAGGTGCCAGGACTTGGGAAGCCAACATTCCCGTCATTAGAAGGCTCTGCTGGGAGGAGGGAGAAAGTGGGTAAGACAGACTGTAGAAAAACCAGCATCCTAATGCGTGAGTGGCTGTAGTTTAGATCCGTTTGGTCGTCCTCTGCCTTGGCCATTTGTTTCATTAAACCGTGTGCTAGGTCTGAATGAAGCGTAGAGAACAGGAAGGGGGTTGACCCGAGCAGTAGCAGGTGAAAGGAGAAGCAAATGGCACCCTCCGGCTCCCCCCTTTTACAGATTTGTGAAGGACAGTGGCACGACACCTTGTTTATCAGTCAGGGCCCCCGTGGAAAATGTGAAGGTTAAGTTTTCACCCCCAAATTATATGTGGTGCTCAGAAACTTTTCTCTATATTTGTGACTCATCAGTTGTTCGCTTGCTCTTGGTAGAAACGCCACCGCCTGGTTATATCAGTGAAGATGGAGAAACAAGCGACCAGCAGTTGAACCAAAGCATGGATACAGGTAATTGTTAACCCCCCCCCCCCAAACTCAAACCAGAGACTTTCAGATCGAAGGGAACTGTGTTAGGTGATTCAATGACTCTTCCCTTAATGCACTAGCACCTTTGATATCTGGTCGTTTTAGCATTGCTTTAACTGTTACTTGTGTGTTTTATGAATCCTTCTGTAAGCTGCCCGGAGCCTGCTTCAGCGGGGAGGGCGGGACGGGGTATAAATTTGATAAATTCGATAATAAGAGCCCTGCTGGACCAGAGCAGTGGTCCATCTGGTAGAGAATCCCAGTTCACGCAGGGGCCAACCTCCTCCTCTGCTGCTGCCGCCGCCTCAGCATTTTTCCGCCAAGGCTGTCCGAGAGTTATTAGTTTAAGATGGGACCATGGAACTGTCTGTATGGACTCCAACAAGTCTGTGATGACGAATAATTTACACTGTGTAGAAGAGCCCAGAAGGGCCTTTGGCTCTCTCGCACCACAAGCTGACCGGTGACTTCCAGGCGTGTGGCAAACCACAGCTTGCGTTTGAAATGACAAACTGTGGTTTGCATGCGTGGCCTGCAAATGTCCGATCCTGGCTCGCGAGCCATAGTTGGCTGGTTCTGGGGTGATGGCAAAATGTAGCTTGCTGACATGAAGGGTGTGATTGGCTTGCCATGTGTGGTTAGCATCCTAACCTCGGCATCCTGTGGCTTTGTATTGTCTCTGAACCGTGGCGCAGTGTTCAAAAGTATTGGATGCAGACCGAAGAACAATGTTTGATCATGGGACTGGATTCGCTACCCCCCACCCTTTGGAGGGCTAAAGTTATGAGGAGAGATGGAAAAGGTGCAGTTCAGATCTCCTAAAAATGGTTTATATACAAATATTTTGGTGTGTCCCCCCCCCCCCCCGCCTTGATTTCATAACCTTGCCCTTGATTCTCCTGGGTAGCAGTAGAATTGAGTTGTAAGCCCAACCAGGTTATTTGAGCAAATTCCGTAGTTCTCTTTCCCCTCCGTGACAAGGAAAGCGCAGCCTGTTTTCTCCCACTCTCTCCTTTCTGGCCCATAAACCCCGGGACTTCTAAATCTTTCTAAAAAAGAAATCTGCCTGTGGTTTGAGTTTTCTGCCAATTGTTTTAACTGTTGACATTTTAAAAACTCAAAACAGCAAAGCTCGGGTCAGGTTCCAAAGCGTACTTACACAGTCGGACAGTAGCTCTGCGGGGATATCTCAGGGATAAATCTTCCACATTCTGTGTTAGTAAAAACCAGCCTTGAGGCTCTTCAAATCACGGCTGTGCGGCTTCCAAGAGAAACACTGAGCGTGTGGCAGATCGAGGCTTTCTTGCAGTCTAAGGCACCTTTGCTGTATTTTGCTGTAAAGTCACCCTTGTCTCTTAACTCTGCAGGATCCCCAGCGGAGCTGTCTCCCAGTACTCTGTCGCCTGTCAATCACAGCCTGGGTAAGCAGTGGACACTTCCCCCCTCCTCCTAACTTAAGCAAGCGCAGCGTAGGACGCAGAAAGCGGGATTCAGAAAAGACAGATCTGGGAGAGGAACCGTGTGATAAAACTGGTGGGGACGGACTGGTTGTTTTTGTCCACGATGACATCAGAAATTCCAGGTGACCTCTTCGTGGTCTTCGTTACCCTCTCTTTTCATTGTGGAGATTTAGGTCTCGAGCTGATGCAGAGCGGAGGTAGAACAAGGTGAAAAATTCCAGGTGGGAAAAAGTAACCTCTGCAGTAGCCCTTTTGTCCCCGTCCCCACCCCCCGGAAGAGCAGCGACTTTTACTTTAATTTTTCCCTGTGCCTGGTTATTTTAGAAGAGGGGTTCGGGAGGGACTGTGGCTCAGTGGAAGAGCACCTGCTTGACACGCGGAAGGTCCCAGGTTCAATCCCCGGCATCGCCACTTAACAGGACCAGGCGGGAGGTGATACGAAAGCCCCTCAACCTGAGACCCTGGAGAGCCACTGTCGGTCTGAGAAGACAGTACTGACCTTGAGAGATCAGTGGTGTCAGGCAGATTCAGGTGATCGTATTCGTGGGGCGGGGCCGTGGCTCAGTGGTAGAGAGAACAAATGTGAAGAGAACAGTCGTGAGAGTCTGACCCCACAGATCAAGCAGTCAGCAAGACTTGCAAAGAAAATGCTTCCTGTATATTATGGTCCACAAGCACTACAACACAATGAACAAATTCCTTCAAACCATAAGAAAATCCTAGTGTGAAAATACATCATTAGCGTCGTCTCCGGATTATATAGTGACGTTTCAAAATTGGATCTTCCTCAGGAAATATTCTGTACTGTACAAAAATACAAATCTTTAGAATATGTACAATGTGAAAAATGGAAAATTAGTATAAAATCTAAATACAGTCTTACGTACAAAGTAGTACAAAAGCTGTCTTGCACATAAAGTGCTTCACAACAAATCAGGAAAGATCTGCAATATAGCAATATTCCTCTTATGAAAAAATACAAAGTATTTTAAAAATGGAACCCATGTATAATAGTAACTTAAAATACATTGGGATAGGACCAATGCTCCCTCTAAGCTGTGGAGTCTTGTGAGCAAAAGTTCTACTTTGTGAGCTACTGGCATTAAAGTTCTGAGTGAGCGATTTGGCTACTGCATAAATCAGTTTGCTGTGGAGCCATCCTTTCTGAGCTAAGGCAAAAACGTGTGAGCTGGAGGCTAAAAAACTGAGCTAGCTCACAGTAATTGAGCTTAGAGGGAACACAGGATAGGCCACTGCTCTCAATAAGTATTCAGGCTCAAATATGCTGCTAAGCTTCCAATGGATCCCAGGCGTCTCACTTAAAGAAACATCACATAGTGGTTCACAAAAAAACATGAAAGGTCCATTTCTGCATTTAGTCCGTTTGTAAACCACTATGTGATGTTTCTTTAAGTATACAGCCTCTTATCACCTGTCAGCAATTTGCAAGGTCCCTTTAATTGCACTCTGTCAAGAATCACCAGAGTGAGACGCCTGGGATCCATTAGAAGCTTGGCAGCATATCTGAGCCTGAATACTTATTGAGATCAGCGTCCTCAAGTTACTATAAGTTACTATTATTTGTTTATTGTGTTGCAGTGCTTGTTGACCATAATATACAGAAAGCATTTTCTTTGCAAGTCTCGTTGGCTGCTTGATCTGTAGGTCAGACTCTCACGACTGTTTTCTTTGCATTTGTTCTCTGATTAGGTCGTGATTGCCCACATTTGTCTTGTGACATCACGACCTATTACAAAGGACATTTTACTTCCTCAGTGGTAGAGACCCTGCTTGGCATTCAGAAGGTCCCAGGTTCAGTCCCCGACATCTTCAGTTAAAAGGACCAGGAAACAGGTGATGGGAAAGACCTCAGCCTGAGACCCTGGAGAGCCACTGCCAATCTGAGTAGACAGCACTGAGCTTGGCAGACCGATGGTCTGGTTCAGTATAAGGCAGCTTGATGTGTTCATGTGAACATGCTGTTCTAATCGTGCTCAAACTCCTGTGGCAGAGCTATGACCTAACAGCAGATCCTAGTATGTAGCACGGGGCTTAGACACACCATTGCATAGCATTACGCATGGTCTTCCTGCACTCCCCTGCACGATATACACAGTGTTGGCTCGGAAGGGTCCAGAAGGCAGCAAAAGGGACTCCAGTTGAAAAAGTTTGGGACCAATGCTCCCTCTAAGCTGTGGAGCCTTGTGAGCAAAATTTCTACTTTGTGAGCTACTGGCATTAAAGTGGTGAGCGAACAATTTGGCTACTGCATAAATTAGTTTGCTCTGGAGCCGTCTCTTCCTGAGCTAAGAGAAAAATGTGTGAGCCGGAGGCTACAAAACTGTGAGCTAGCTCACACTAACTCAACTTAGAGGGAACACTGTTTGGGACGCCTGTGAAGCTCCCCTGTGCCCTCCATAGTTAAGGCACAGCACCCGCATATCTGTTGCGTGTTGGTTTGCAGTGCACAGTAGATCTTCGACATGGTCTCTGTGATTCACACCCATGGGATCTAGTGCGCACGCGCTGGATCGATCGGCATTGTAGCAAGCTCTTTAACGGATTTTTGCGCCCAGACCTCGGGCATGCGCAGGAACCCCACCGCGCATGCCCAGAAGGGAGGGCATGGACATCCCGCCAGTTCCTTTCTTACCCCTCGCGTTGGAAAGACCTCTTTTTTCATCGGTCTGATCGGTTCGCTTTTTTGGCTATTTGTCTCACGGCTCTTCGGATTTTTCCTCACTTTATCCTTTTTTCTTCAGTGTTTGTTTGTTCTTTAAAAAACTTTTTAAAAATTCCTCCTCTAAATCTAAAAGAACTCACTCTGCACCTTCTGACAGGGAAAGTAAGAAATTGGATGCCTTTGGCAATTTCTACTCTACAGGAGTGTTGGGAATGAAAACCACTAACTACCTAACCTGCATGAGCAGATATCAATACACTCTGTGGGAAAGGTTTTCTGAAATCCTAACTCATCTTCCTGAAGATAAACCACAGGCAGCCAGAGTTATTCAAAAGGAAGGTATGGTGTTGGCAAAACAGCAGATCAACGCTTCAAAACATGCCCTAGTTGCGTCCTCAAGAACGATGGCCTCTGCAATAGCTCTGAGGAGATATTCCTGGCTCCGTAATACCAGTCTACCTATAGATACTAGGTCAGTGATGGCGAACCTTTTAGAGACCGAGTGCCCAAACTGCGACCCAAAACCCACTTATTGATCGCAAAGTGCCAACACAGCAATTTAACCTGAATACTGAGGTTTTACTTTAGAAAAAACAACTCATACATTAACTTAAGATGATCCAAACAAAGTAAGGAAAGCAATCCCAAATGCTTTCATTTACTCAAAATTATTTGGCAGAGAATTCGACACTTTAATGATGGTCTGGGCCTGGCTGGGGCGATGGCACGCGTGCCCACAGAGAGGGCTCTGAGTGCCACCTCTGGCACCCGTGCCATAGGTTCGCCACCACTGAACTAGGAGGTGGTTTGGATCCCTGGTTCGAATCCCTGCTCTGCCGTGGAAGCTTTCTGGTTGACCTTGAGTCAGTCACACACTCTCAACTTAACCTACCTATCGGAGATGCTGTAAGTATGAAATGGAGGAAAGGAGAACAATGTTGTAAGCTGCTTTGGGGCCCTGCTGGGAAAAAAAAACAGTGTATAAATGTCTAAATACAATAAATAACTTTCATTCAATATGTTCAGCCGATATTGGCTCCCAGCAAAGTTTACGGGGATTTAAAATATATATAGTTACCAGAATTCAGTAAAAATGCTCCTTCAGGGTGGGCTTTTCAGCAGGACCTGTCAGACAATGGAGACCGCGGACTTCTTCAGGAGGCCAAAAAGCCACCTTCCAAAAACCATGGTTTGGATCTGGGCAAAACTCTTCTCGCACCAAACAGGCAAAACCCTCCAAACAGGGTTTTTGACTTCCCTT